ATAGAAATAGAAGACCGTATTTATGGTCCTCGGTGCCCTAAACGAGAAAAGCTATAATTGGATGACATCATGTGCCATTATCATAGTTACAAATGAGGGTGTCAGTTCACCTCTCACCTTAAAGGCATAGCCGCAGAGCTGAACCCCCCCTCTTGGTCCTCTGCCCACCCCTCCAGAGCAAGGGAAACACCACTGCTGGGAATTCTGTAAAGGAGGAAAAATACCTACCAGCAAGGGGCTAAAAAATCACTGGGTACCATCTCATCCTTAGTTAATAGTACTGTACATAAAGCCAGTAAAGACTTTGCTGAATTACTCTCTTGACCAATGCTTGCTTCTTGATGTTCTGAATTTTCTTTTCTCTTTTTTTTTTTTTCGCTTCCTGCCTTATAAAAAGAAGAAATAAAATTATTAGAGCTTGGCAAAGAAAAGCAAATCTCCCATAATCTCAGGTCAGAATTCCCTAAAATAATAGTCACGCATTTTTGTTTCTCAAAGAAAAACGTAAAAGAGCAAAAATTCCAAACTACAGCAAAATTCCTTCAGTGTCTACTGACTTTTCCTCCCCTCAATACAGTTTTATTATCTTATGGAAGGTTTTACCATATCTCTCAAGAGGGTAAATCTTAGCAAAGAATAAAGTGGGAAGGGAACAAAACCAGAGGAAGAACTAAGATCACAAATGAATAGACTTTAAAGCTTCATCCTCTTCCTCCCCTTTGATTTTCATCCATGCTCATCTACTCTGAGAGTCTCAAGCACCTGACCCATTAATTTCTATATTTCTTCACCGTATGAGATCCAAAACCAAAGCAGAGATTTAGAGAGGGGTTCTAAACTCTGAGTTATCTTATTCTTTTCACATTTTGACTAAGTTTACCCTCTCCTCTACTTCCCCATCTCATCCCCAAGCCCTGAAAAAATTGTCAACTTTCAATTATACTGTTGAATCTTCAAGCTGGATAGACAGTGGTTATTACACTGTCTTGTCGTGATACTCCTTTCAAAGGAGTTAGAACTGGCCGAAAACCATATTTTTACACAAATAGCACGCACCTTCTGTGTTTGTTTGCCAGCCTCGTCCTCCTTCCCCCACCCCAAGGTATTTTCATAAGCACCACTATGTCCAAAAAAAAAAAAAACAACTGGTATAGCGATGCTTACGAAAATACCTCACAGGAGGAGGACTCAGCTGGCAAACAAACATACAAGTTTTGCTCTATTTGTGTAAAAACACAGTAGAAACACATTTGGGGATTTGGAGACTCAGTAGGTGGAATGATCTGTTGTTTATGTTAAAACACACAAGCAAAGAACCTTCTACATGTGCTAAGCCCACTGCGCTGTGGCACGATAAGACTTACCCCTAGGACACGAAGTACCAAGAAACCGGAGAGTTTGAGAGCTTACAGCAAAATAACTTAGTGAAATAATAATCTGCATTTATTCTGCCTATATTTTCCCTTTCATTTCAGGCAAGGATTGAGGCCGTTAGCATTTCCTTCCTTCAGCCATTTTTAAAAGTGGAAAACAGAAGTCACTTTGAATCAAAAGCTCTTCTGTCTTTTGCAAACATCTAAGTTACCGCAGAGAGGATACCAGGGGTCCTAGAGGGAGAAGAAGAGGAGTGCCTTTAGGAGTAAGGAGAAAAAGGGCTGAGCCTAGAGGCTGGAAGGAGACAAAGGTTAGTGGGTCTGAGGGACTCACCTTACATTCCTTGGCAGCACCCTTTTGGAGTGGAAAGGCCAGATCTAAACACAGAAGCTCCGTGGCTTTCCAGCTACTCCCATGGCTAAGCACAGCACAGCTGCCGGAACCAAGAGGTCACACAGGTCAGTTAGCAGTAACTGGTATGGACTATGACCAGTGTCCAAAGGGGCCCAGGCCCCCAGATCAAACCACAACACTGAGTGGCATCAGAGCTTTCAGCTGGATTTAAGTTGACCCAGTTGGTGCACTAAGACTCACGTGGGGACCTGCCACGGGGTCTGGCAAAGACTGGCGGAATGATGCATATCTGCAGCGGACACTGACTATAGGTGATAGAATTTAAGCTAATTCATCCAAGCCCATGGTCATGACTCTGTTGGAGAATGGGTATAAAGAGACAAGTGTAAACTCTTGGAAGACGTGTTATGGATTAAATTGTGACGCCCTCCCAAGATATGTGTTGGAATCCTAAGCCCTATACCTGTGGATGTGATACTGTTTGGAAATAGAGTTTTCTCTGTGATGTTAGTTAGATCGCACCCTAACAGGGTGGGTTCTAAATCTATTCACTTCTGAGTTACAAACAAAGCAGATCAGACACTGAGACACACACACAGGGGAAGTCAGATGCCATGTGAGGAATGCCAAGGAACCAAGGAATGTTTAGAGCTAATGACACAGTAGGAATCAACATGGCTGAAACCCTGATTTGGACTTTACAGTATCCAGAACTGAGAAAATAAACTTCTGTTCTTTACAGCCACCCACTTTCATATTTCTGTCACAGCAGTGCTAGGAAACTAAGATGACATGGCTGATAAGTTTGGATTTGAAAAAGTACTTTAGAAAGCTTTAAAATTCTCAGGCAGACACAAGGGGATCAGAGAAGAAAGTAAGGATAGTTTGCTAACGTTAAATTTCTCTGTAATTCTTAGGAAAATTCTTAGAAAAAGAAATGGGTGATTTTAAGGACTCCATTTTTTAAAATACACTTTATTTTTTAAAGCAATTTTAGATTTACATAAAAATTGCACAGTACCTGTTTCAAAAATTAAAATTTTTCCAGGAAAGAGGAAGGCATAGAGAAGCCAGTAGACATGCTACTGGGGAACAGGTCAACATGGTGGGACAGCCAGTAGGGAAAATTATTCCACCTGTGATAGAAATGATGATCGCCAGAAACTGTGGTGTTTTCCAATGACATTTCCAATCATGAAACTCCTATCCCCTGAGAAGAGACATTTGAATCTTGGTTAGGGAGCATCACCAGGATACGGCTGCTATTACAGAATCAGGGCCTGAGAAACGCACAGCTGATGTGCCTGCCCTCCCACGGTGTCCTCCCAGCTTCATTCCTCACTGCTCTCCTGTTGCTCACTTGGTTCTGGCCACATTGGCTCCCTTGATGTTCCTTCACCTGCAGCCTTTGCACCTGTATTCCCTCTGCCTTTAAGTTTCTTCTCCAGACATCTTACGGCCAGTTCCGTCATCTTTTCCAGGTCTTTACTCAAACAGCACGCTCTCAGCGGGACCTGCTGTGACTACACGCTGCCATCGAGTCGGTTCCGACTCACAGCGACCCTGTAGGAGACAGTTGAACTGCCCCATAGGGTTTCCAAGGAGCTGCTGGTGGATTTGAACTGCCAACCTTTTGGTTAGCAGCTGAGCTCTTAACCACTGCACACCAAGGGCTCCCTGCTCTGACTACTCTTTTTAAAACTGCGCATCCCTACCGCATCCCAGCACTGCCTTCTTCACTTAACATCACCTGACATACTGCACATTTTACCTAGTTCATTTATGATTATTTCACTAGATCATCCCCATGAAGAAAGTTATTGAGTCTTTCCTTCAGTGGTGTGTTAGCAGCCTCTAAAAGTGTCTGGCACACGGCCAGTGCTCACTACTCACTGAAAGAACAGGCGTGTCGGTCAATGCTGATGGAATGAATGCCTAAATAGTCTGGCCTTCGAGGCACCTTCCCTTCACAGCAAACAAAGCTGTAATGGCTGCGACTGAGTATCTGAGTACAAGGCCCACTGAACACCAGAGAACATGCATATCTGATGAACTTCCTAAATACCCACAGAGGCTGTGAACAGGTATCTTCATTTACACTGTGTTCATTGATGAGCAGCAGTCCCAACATCCTCAACTTCAGCACAGCTCCAGCCTGCGTGGAAGAATGCAGGTGAATGTGGGGTGTGTGCTCCCCAAGACTAGCCTGAGTTCACTCCCCTCCACACGTCTCCTGAGGGAAGGTGGCAAAAAGGAGAAAGGAGGGATTGCTGGTTGCTCCCCTCCACCAATATCGTTACTCCTTTAGCACTTTTCCCAAATTAGATAGTCCATGAGGAAAAAAAATAAACGACAACAAGCCTATTGCCATTGAGTTGACTCCGATTTGTGGCAACCCCATGGGTTAAAGAGTAGAACTGTACTTCATAGCATTTTCTTGGTTGTAGTCTTTATGGAAGCAGATCACCAGGCCTTTCTTCCACAGCACCACTGGGTAGGCTCAAGTAGCCAACCTTAAGGTTAGCAGATGAGCACAAATGATTTGTGCCACCCAGGGACCTATGAGAACTAAAGGGCTGGCAAAATTCCTATTTGGGGATGAGGAAACTATGCCACACTTTCACATACATGGCCTAGTGTGACGCTCTAAGAACAAAATAGTGTAAAACACGCATGAAGCTTATTATCTTGCTGGGGAGATAAGACTAACAGGCAAGAAATAAATCTGGCAGCACTGTTCTAACAAAAGGCCCTGAGAGCAGGAGGGATGGTGTGTTATTACTGGAGTCTGGGTGATATTCGTGTTGGAATGCAGAATTCCTTTGCAGTCTTATGTTTTATTTAAATAAAATCAAATTTCGCACTTACTCTGTAATCTGCATTTATTATAAATTTTTAAAAATTACTTTTTTACTTACCAGTAAACTTACTTAGCTTTCGTTTCCCATGTCTTCAAGATAAACTGAGTCTCCATCAAGATGTGCCAACTTAATCCTGTGGCTCTGGATTCTCCTTGGCACTGTGAATCCCAGGGGTGTGACCCTATCTGATAAGTGTGAAACGCGGATATCGCATAAACATCATCTTATGCCAAAATGTGTGGTATTGACAACAACTAGTATAGCTGCTGAGGAAAGTCCAAAATATTTGGAGAGGCTATATGGAGCCAGGTGTGAAAAGCATTATTCAAACTGCTGCCAACGATAGAAGCTGTATGACATAAACATTTTTTGCTATATCACAACATTTTTTAAAAAACAAGAAACAAGTTGTTTAAAAACAAATACAGTTGTTGTTTTAATATAAACGAAGCGTAAACATGTAGTAGTAACGCCAGAAAGAAACTATCTTCAACTCCGGGTTTTTTTTTCAAAACATACAAGATCATTTTTCGAAAAATACAAGATGCACAGATAAATCACATTCACACTTTACAAATTTTAAATACAAATTCATAATGAACAATGAATAGTTTCATATTTTTCAGCAGCTTGAAATTTTGAAATCATTAGCAAAATTATTCCTTTCCATCATTTTTATGAGTAAAAAAAGAAACAGCTAATTATGTATCTTATACTGGCATATATGTATTACTCAAAAGTACAAAGCAACCCTGAAGACAGTAAAGTCCCATGCTTACTGTATGAATTATAAAAATACTGAGACATTTCTCAGGAATAACTAATGTAGATGAAAACTATTTCAGAATATGCTTCATAAACAGAAGTCCAACTTTTCTCTTCGGTTCAGAAAATTAAGAGGTAGGTTCAATAAAGTAAACGCCTATGTGTCTCTGGATTTTCAATAAAATATTGATAATGTGTAACAGAAATAATTAGAAATCAAACTTGCCTTAGTTTGAGGGACTGAATACCTTCAGCTAACAAATATTTTTCTAAGTCCTAATCACACAAATTTCAGAGAAGGTAGTTGACTATAAAAATTGCTTTAGTAAAAAAAGAAATGCTATCAATATTATAAATTAAGTTTTCTATATCATAGCATGTTCCTAAGAATTGGAGCAAGAGGAAATATGAATGTACATGTTTATAAATTAGGCCTTTCATTTAAATAGGGGTATCTAATGTATAAGATTAATACATATGACTGTTAATATGTACTATTCTCTCAAGTTTATGCTGCCCAAATTGAGAATGGTAGGATCAAAGAAATCCAACAGGGAGAGGAAAATAAGAATGTCACTTGTCCATGATCAAACCGCTTCATGTCATTAAGACAGGAAAGTTTTAGATTTGCAAGAATGGTCCCAACAAGCCTTCTGATTAGAATGGAATATCAGTCAAGCAGCAGATGACAAAGGACAAACAAAAGAGAGATACTCCTCAGAAGCTGATATAAACAAAAGAGTTTTGGTTCCTGCTGCTTTTCAAAGCAATCACAGAATAAACAGAATCTTTCAAGTACGTTGTTCTGTGCTGATAACGTAGCATTAACATACTGACATTTAATCAGAGTGTGATTCCAGGAGCCAAATAATGGTGCAAGTAAAATGGACAAGTGCCCACTGAAATAAATATTATCTCCTCACTCCTCCTTACACAAAAATAATATGAATGAACGAGGTATTCACATGACTTGAAATTCTGCCCTTTAAGTTCATTCCTATTCTGCTTAACAAAAGACAATGATATAAACTCTATACTGATTTGGGTGCTGTAAAGGATGTTTCAATACAATGATTTTCTATTTATGGTTTTATGAGGAAATTTTTTTAAAGTCTATAAAGATATTAAAAAATAATTTAAGTCTCAAGGCTTTCTGATTGTTTTGTTTTTAAGAAAAAGACGCTTAAGTAGAAACTTGGACCAACCAAAATAAAGATTAATGATTTATAATTCTACCACACCAAACAAATTTGGTTCAAGCAAATACATTTTTCAGATTTAGGATTCAGGGCAGATATTTGCAGGAAGGATTAATAAGAAAGGTAAATACAATTTTGTGGCTTTTTAAATTGTATGAAATTAGCAAAACTATGATTTTAAGCAATTCTGTATATATAAAATTCAAGCCAAAATATCTGAAGTGATCATTGACATGCTCTTCCCTTTTATGAAAAAATACAGCTTTTTTTTGCCATGGACTTGCTGCAATTCTAGGAGAAAAACTAACTCCAGAAATTGTTGAGAATTTCAATAATCACACTAAAGCAAAAAATTCAACATGTCATTTCTGGGCTACTCCTAAAGTTTGCTTCATATTTTCATAAACCACGTAACTGATGCCAACAGCAGGGAGCACCTTCATGAAGTTCGGGGTGATGCCTCTGTAAAGTCCTCTTACTCCTTCTTTGGAAATTATTCGTCGGAAGAGGCCAACCATGTTCAGCTGTGGGGTTCCCTCTAACATGGCTAGAAAATAAAAAAAGAAACCAAGCTAATTTAATATTCAAGCATGTTTCATTTCCTTAGTGATTATTAAGATAAACAAGTATCATTCAGGATGATGTTCTAGAATAAAATGAAAGGAAAAAGCCTACTCCCAGGGGCCCAAGAAAGTATCCTTTTATATAATTCTCCTTGTATAGCACCTAATAGTGAGTGCCCTGACTACAATACTGATGTAATAACAGTTATTTCTTGAGAGCTTACTCTGTGCTAGATACTGTGTCAACTACTTTATGTACCAACCCTGCAGGGTAAATATTATTATACCCATTTGACTAACAAGGAGTTAGAGACTTAGAAAGATGGAGTAACCTGTCCTAAACCACATAGCTAGCAAGCAGTAGAGCCAAGATTTGATGGTCTTTCTGACTCCAAAGCCCAGGTGCTTTCTACCACACCACACTGCCACCTTCTCCTTTCCCTGTTAGCCAAGCCCTGAAGACAGAACAGTTAAATCGTGGGAAATGCGGGAGTATGGGAAAGGCTTTGAGGATCTTAAGAACACAAAGGGCCCTGGGCCTTGAAAATTACCTCAACAGACATGAAAGGCAGGGAAGGGAAAGTCCATGTTGCTGGCCCAACAAAGACAAGGACAGGAACGTGCGTGTGCTATGGGAAGCAGCTGATCTTTGCACATGGTTATTACAGAGACAGAACAGAGAGGCTGAAGGTGGGCAAGGTAGGGATGGGGAAATGAAGATGAAGCTAAAACATAAAGTGGGCCCAGTGGTTAAAGGCTTTGAAATTTCCACTGAGAAGTTTGGATTTTACTCGAAAGACACTGAAGAGTCACAATGATTTGTGAACAGGTGTAAAATGATCAGACGTTTAGTTTAGAAATGTCAAGTCCCTCAGCAATGCAATGGTCTGAATGGGAACTGGCAGACTGAACAGGGAAGACTTGTTAGGCCTGGGTTTGGTATAGTGTAATGGCCATGAGTGAGGGCTCTTGAATTACACTGCCTGGGTTTGAATTCTAGCTCCACCAACTGACTAAATGTGTAACTTTGTGGAGTTACTAAACCTCTCTTTGCCTCAGTTACTCATCTGCAAAATGGGGATAAGATTAGTATCACCCCCCAAAAGATGGTTATGATGGTTAAATGGGAGCATAGTTTAGTTTATTACTCCCCATTTTTCTCTCCATATGATCTTTCTGCTCTTCAAATATGCCCTGGTGGTGCTGTGGTTAAGCGACTGGCTGCTAACCAAAAGATCAGCAGTTCGAATCCACCAGCTGCTCCTTGGAAACCCAACGGGGCAGTTCTACTCTGTTCTGCAGGGTCTCCATCAGTCAGAATCTACTCGACTGCAACGGGTTTGCGATTTTTTTTTTGGTCTTCTGCCTCAGTGTCTTCACATATGCTTTCCCTAAGGCTGGAATAATGTTCTTTGTTTTTCCACCCCACCTGCCTTAGCCCAGCCAACTCACACTTGTTCTTCAGGTCCCAGCTTAAACAGTAGCCTTCGCCAGCTTCCAGGTTAGGTTAGCGCCCCTTGCTCTATGTTCCCATGGCAAAGGGGAGGTACCTCAACAAGGCTGTTTACTTGCTGAAGGTGTATCTTCTCCACTCCACAATGGCAAGGATAATAATAATAAACAATTCCAGCCGCCATGTACCAAGAATTTCACAAATGCCAGCTGCTTTACATATATTATTGCTAATTCTTACTATACTGCAGCTTTCATTTCCTCTTACAGATGAGAAAATGAAAACCCAAAGAGGTTCAAGGCCAGGATCTGAACCCAAGTCCATCTAGATACCAAAGCTTATATTCTGAAAACACGCATTCTCAACACAGGTGGAAAAAGGAAAAAAAAAAAGTCTTTCTCTTTTTATGTATAAAACTCGGTACATAGGAAGTTCATGAAAGGGAATGATTAGGAAAGAACGTCTAAATAAGGAGGCAATAATAAAAATAATAATAAAAGTTGAGAAACAGTGTCTTATAACTACACTCTGCTGTCTCAGTCGAACTTGATACTAAAACTGAGAAAATCCAAAAGCACATTACTGACGCACTGCATCTATCCGTGCCATTCGCCAATCAAGAACTCACCTTGAGCCTGCATGCGAGTTCTCACCAAAGCCAGGGGGTAGCTGGCCAGCTGACCACAGGTGCTGGATAAGGCACCACAGCCCAGCAACACCATGACTCCAGGGTTTACAGTGTCCTTCGCAAAATTATCTAGCCAGTGGGACTTCAAGAGCTGCCAGAGAAAAGAATAATGGAACACTAACTTTACAACTGCTTTCACTGTCACTCAATGAGAACATTTTCACTATTCTCATTCTTAGGAGAGACAGGCCACATTTCTGCCAGATCGGGTGGCACATTCCCAGGAACAGCAGCCACTACGCGAAGGGACAGTTCTGCGGAGAGGTGGAGGCGCCACTGGGGACTCAGAGCATGCAAGGTTTGCACTGGTCGCTCATTTTCTGCTAAGTAAACTTGAAGATCAATAGCACAGCAGAAGCTGTAGGATCTAAAGAACATTTCTTGCGGTGAGTATTAATAAATTAACATACTACTACTACTACAGTCGATTTTCGTTATTCTTGGTCATTGTGTTCTATAAAGTCACCGCTAACACTGATAGCAGTGACCAAGCAAACCTTGGCCTGGGAGGTTTGAGGCAAGATTTGTATTCTCTTGTCTCTCCAGCACAAGAAATGAATGTGTGCTACCCACACCGGTCTCGTGAATTTATCAACGTCAGCTGGGACCATGTACATCATACTACTTGATTTTCACCCTCTGCGCGTGAGCACGCTGCAAATGCCCACAAAAGCACCGGGAGTATTGATTTGGGGGCACAAATAAATTTTAGCAAGTACGAAATTTGCAGAAAAGGAATCCGCGAATAATGAGGACTGACTGTAATTTTATCTCATTTTACACTTCAAACATTATTTCATCTGGCCCTTACAAAAACTCTGATACGACTCTATCATTCTGATTTTAGAAATGAGGAAAATTTGTCTCATGGGGGTTTTTTAATAAGGGCTCAGATTCAGGTCTACTGACCCCTAGACCATGCTTTTCACTTCATTATCATTAGGCCCCTGTATTTCCATTAGAAGGCGATCACTGGGAGAAACTGTATAAAATACGTATGCTAATATATTTTTTAAATATAAAATATTTTAAGTACCTGCAAATATGTGAAAAAGTTACACAACTAGTTTAAATATTATAATGAAAATTTTACCTGTGTAGTTGGATCTTATAAATTATAGCACAAGAATAGCCCTATAAACTTGAAGTTAAAAAAACTAGATTTAATTGTCTTATTTAATATCCATTTAGTACTATAATATGATAATAAACAAAGCCATGAAGGCTGAGGATAACCATGTCTGAGCTACAGAAATGAGGGAACAGAAGTAATTCACTAGAAACTGATAAACTATTTGTACTAGTAAGACCAGGGCAGGGGGAAAAAACGGTGGGGAAAGAGGATGCACTCTTTAAAACGTTCAACAATCAATTTAAAATTCCATAAAATATAAATGATCTCCTAAGAACTCCCTCCATCTCCCATCGTCTATTTTATTCTACCTCCTAGGGACCCGTTCCATTATCATTCCTTGACTCTTAGGTCTCCTTGTTTTTTTTATAATTAATTTATTTGTTCGTTCATTTATTCCATTCATTCATTCAGCTCTTTGACATTTATTTCTCACTGCAGTCTGATTTCCAAAACCACTCCACTGAGGCTACTCTTATGATAGCTAACAATAACTTAATAACATGCCTGTTAAATCCAATTCACTTCCAGTCTTACCTGAACTTTCTGAATCCCCAGCCACTCCCTCCTTGAAGCTGTCTCCTATGTGGGCTTCCAGGCATCATTTTCTCTTCCAGTTTTCTCCTGCTACAACGGCCATTCCTTCCTAGTCACCTTGGTTGTCCTGCTTCCTAAGCTCAACTCTGAAATTTTGAGTGGTGATGTCACCAAAACCCCATGTTTTTTTACTGTCACTTGCACTTCGATATCCTCACATCTCTTCCCCCAGCCCAGAACATTTCTGCCAAGCCACAGGCTCATATATCCACCTCACTCCTGGGCATCTCCACTTAGATGTTTACAAATTCTTCCAGTGTGATACGTAAAGCATCAAACTCATACTACGCACCCCAACCAAACGTGTTCCTCTTCCAGGATTCCCTACAATCAGTACTAAAGCAGCAGAAACAGCTTTTGAAAATGTAAATCTAATTAAGTCTCTCACCTAGTTTGTCCTTCAACAGCTCTCTGTCCCCTTTAGGACAGAAGCCAACCTCCTCAGCCTAGCAACATAGCATTTTGGAATCTGAACCTATTCCACTTCTCCAGCCTCATCAACAAACACTGCCAAATCTTATCATATATCACAGCTACTTGCGATTTTCCAAACCCTCATGCTCTCTCAAACTTCCAGGTCTTTGTCTGCCATTAATCTCCCCCAAGTCCCAATCCCATTTTTCCCCAACTGTTCTTATTCATCCTTCAAAACGCAGCTCAAGAAGTAAAGTCCTCTAAGACAGTTTTCATCACACACTCCACCCTCCCCTCAGCTGTTGGCTGGTGCCCCTCCTAACGTACCCCCTGGGTTACCTTTATCACAGCACACTCCCCCACCAGACCTTCAGTTTCTTAAAGACAGACACCGAGTCTTTCTTTCAATCTGTAAATCCAGGGTCTAATCCAGGACCTGTACATAGTGTGTGCTCAACAAATGTTTGTCAGAGTCATAAATTATTAAATGTTTAAGTGGCAGGTTTGGGCCAAGGTTTGTATTCTCTTGCCTCTCCAGCACAAAAAGTGAATGCGTGCTACCCACACCGGTCTCCTGATTTTTATCAATGTCAGATTTTAACAAATCAAAGAAAATGTGCCATTTTTGCTTATTTTCTGTCCCCCACAAAAAAACCTCTGGCACCATCTTCTGAGCTGAGCAACTATACCTGAATTTGAGTCCACTCTCTTCTCTAACAAAAATAACCCTCAAGGAAAACTGACCCCATGCAAATGGAGTCTCATATTCAAGATGCTTGTTAAGAAGGATAAAATAACACACCACTGAATCTACTTTTGGCTACAAACTGTTTTCTGGTGTATATGCTTCTTTATATAACATTGAATTCTAATGAGAAGAACTACTGAACCATATTCTCAGACTCAAAAGGTTGTTATAAACTCACCTCATACACAGCAAGATCTATGCCTGCATAAGGTATGATGCCTAATAAGTTGGGAATATAACCTTTGTAAAAAGCTCCCAAGCCTTCATGTTTCAAAATCTTCTTGGCACAGTTAAACATTCCAGAGTATTGTCCAGTTTTGCCTACAGCCAGCCTTGTTTTTATAACCTGGATATGAAAGAATATAACAAAATACTTCTGTTCATATTAATGTTATCATGATGGAATTCAAAAGAAATAACTTCACAGAGGACAAATAGGTAGCATGAACTGTCACTCAAATGACTGTGTTCTCCCTCACATATTATCTCTACTGAGGGACTGAGACCAGAGCCAGGGAGACCCGTTTATTGCAAATGAAAGGGTCTCAATGAGGGCAGTGGCAGAGAAAATGGAGAGAAGACAATTTATTGATGTCTTAACAGAACTGAATTGGTGACCAATTAGACATGGTGGGTGAGGAAAACGGTAGCGTGAATGATGACTCCAGAGTTTCTAGTTTGTCACTTAAGATGGGGGTGGGGAGGGGGGATGATGATGCTATTCACTGAGATAGAGGACATAAGAGGAAGAATAGGTGTTGAGTTAGGATATTTTTTTTGAGGGGCATGTGGAGTAATACAAGGTAACACAATCTTATTAAGTTTAAGATGGTTACAAAGAAAGCTATATTAATTTGCATACCACAAAGCAGTGAAATTTAAGGGTGTATCTTGCTTCAGTCTTATCAGTTACTGAAAAACCCTTCGTTATATCAATAAAAATATCCACATCTACAATATTATTTGTGCTCTTTAGGAGTCAGTAAACATTTTCTGTAAAAAGCTGCATAGTAAATATTTTGGGCTTTGCAGGCCTAAAATATCAGGTCACTATTGCATGTTCTTTTTCTTTTTAAACAACCTTTTAAAAAGTTTTAAAAGGTAAAAGCCATTCTTAACTCTAGGGCTGTACAAAACAGCCCACGGGATTGTAGTTTGCCAACCCGGTTCTAATGGAAAGATGTCTAATTAGGATTAACATCACCTCAAATCCTGAGGTTCCTTTATTATAGTACAGAAACTCTTTGGAGAAGAATAGTTCTAATTCTCACCAACACTGTGGCAGCCAGCCTTCAAGACAGCCTCCAACGATCCCTGCCTATAGGTATTCACACCCTGGTGTAGCCCCCTCCCATACTCTACCAGGGTTTGTCTGGGTGATCAATAGAATATAACAGAAGTGACAAAAGACTGCAGATTCCATTTTGGGCTCTCTCTCTCTCTATCACAGATCACTAACTCTGGGGGAAGCCACCTGCTATACTGTGAGGATACTCAGGCAGTCTATGGAGACACCCACGTGGTAAAGAACCAATGTCTCCAGCCAACAGCCAGTGAGAACCTGAGGCCTGCAAACAGCCACATGAGTAAGCTTGGAAGCAGATCCACCCCCAGTCCAGCACTGAGGAGCTTGCAGCCCCAGCTGACACCTTGACTGCGGGCTGAAAGACCCTGAGCCAGAGGCACCTAGCTAAGCTGCTCCTGGATTCCTGACCCACAGATACATTTGATATTTGTGAGGTAACAAATGCTTGGTATTTTAAGCTGTTAGTTTGGGGATAATTTGTTTCATAGCAACAAATAACTAACACAAACATCATTAGACTTAAGTCAGACTTCACAATGGTCTTACCTCCATGGGATAAATAAAAGTCTGTGCAGTTGCTCCAGCCATGGAACCCGAAATAAATCTCTCGAAGGTCCCTACCTTTTGTCCCTCCTCAGTAAGCAACTTCTTGTACTGTATAAATGAGTTTGTAAAAGTGCATTAATACCAAAATACAAATCAGCTCCTAGAAATCAATTGACAGTGTGTCTCAAAATGCATATACTGTGTTAACAATACCTAGCAGAAAAGCAAGGCTTAAACATCAATACATGCAGTTTATTGGACAGTGGTTTTCCAATTAAGTTCCCACAGAACCCAGATGGCCCACAAATGTGGCCAATGTGCTCCTTTGCTAAAACAAACTAATAGCATTCTTTCTCAGATACACAGAAAATAAGGGGTTATTTTAGGATATTTTCCCCATAAGTTTTTTTTTAAGGCAAGTTTATCTGTATCAGCATAAATAAAACTAGTGAATAAGTGACACACAAATATTAACAAAACAACTTAGAAAAAGTTTGTGTAGGTAACATGTATAATTACACTAACACATCGACCCCAGGGCCTGCCTAACCCACCAATACTAAAGCAACCTGGCATGGTTGATTGGACCAAGGGTGGGAATCTAGCCTAAGTAGAGCCAAAAGAGCAGCTGGGCAGGATGTTAACACCAAGGGCTCCAGAGTGAGGCAGACCTGGGCTGCAGTCCCAGAGCCATGTGCCCTCACGCATGTTCATTAACATGTCCGAGTCACAGTTTCCTCATCTGTGATGACAGTACCTACCTCATGGGGTTGTTGAAAGGAGTAAGACAATACATGCCAAAATAGTACAGTGCTGCGCAAAAGGCAAGTGTTCAGTAAGTGTTATTGTTATTATTACTAATATATTATCTTTAAACAACTTCGAGAGAAAAGTTCTGCCCAAACATAGACTGAGGTAAGCAGTCAAGCAAACCAGACTCCTTCTCTCAGAAACGTGAGGAGGGTCTACAGAGGGAATCGGCACTGACACCAGAGGGAGACGTGGATGAATCCACAGAGAGAAGCAGACGCACAGAGAAGGTAAAGGTCAGTGAAGTTCCACTTGTTGGACTTCTCTGAGGATTCATTCCCTTATGGCCACACTTGTCCTTACAGTGACCCCCATTCTCTGAGCTAGCCAGAGTTTTTGTTCCCTAAGATCTAAAAAACATCCCTGGGTGGTGCCTAAAAAGCCCAAAGCAATAAACAACACACATACTTTCTCTTAGTAAAACTGTTTCTTTGCTCATGATAAAGATTAAATCTATTATTATTTCATGGAATTCCTCAAAATAGCAGCTATTCTCCCCAAAAGCGATTGGTATTTCTAGGTGCTCTGTGTTCTGACTGTACCAGAATGTTAAGTAAAACTCCTTTCTACATGGGCCCTATTAATTTTCCAGCACATCAGATTATCACTATCATTTAATGTAATTTGTTACAAAAAACCTTCCTGAATACTAACAGGAACCATGTAGGGGGTACATCTTGTACCCCTCATAGCACAAAGGCACTCAGTGAATATTTGGTGATTAATTAGGAATAAGTATTTAAAGGGTAGGGGCTTGGGGGCTCCTGTGCCCCAAAACATACCATACGTGGACGAAAGAGTTGAGGACAAAGAGGCTATAAAGTGCCACACACTGTGCCAGGCACTTAACCCTGTGCTACCAAGCCTAATCCCCATCTTGGAGATGAGGCAAAAGACACACTCACACACACCTTCCTCTGCATTCATCAATCTGCTGCACTCATCAATCTCCCTCACCTTATTTTTAACTTCCCTCTTTGTATTGACATTCTTCTTTCAGCATAGAGGCACATTAGAACTAATCAAAACCCTGCCTCCACCTTACATCCGCTATTATTTTCTTTACTCCTTCCCTTCACAGTCAGCTCCCTGAAAAAGCTGACTACACTGTCCAATTTTCTTCACCTTCCATTTAGCTTAGCTCATTTCAGTATGGTTTCTCATCTCATTACTGCACTGAAAGACTTACACCAATCTTACCTATGTCTGGGTTGATAAATTCTAAGATACTTTCCTTACATGATGTTACCACCCTGCAGCATTTGACCCTTCACGGAACCCTTCTCTTCCACTGACTTCTCTGCATTTCCTCCTGTCTCTCTGACCATTCCTGCTCAGTCTTCTTTGCAGTATCTCCTTCCACTTCTCCCTTTGAGTTTTATTCCTTTGGGGTTCCTTTGGGCTTTATTCTCAGAATTTCATTTTATAAGCTCTTCATGAGTGATCCTACTCATTCCAATGGTTTCAACTCAATAAAAACCTTCCTATCAAAGACCTCTCTCCCAATTTCTAGATGATAGATCCACTTACCTACTGGATAGATCCACACACCTGTCCCAGAGTTTTATTGATTGAATTCTGTCCCTCAAAAGACACGTTGGAGTCCTAACCCCTTATACCTGTGAACACAACCTTGTTTGAAAATAGAGTCTTTGAAGATGTTATCAGTTAACAGGAGGTCATACTGGAGTAGGGTGGGTCCTAATCCCATATGACTGATGTTCTTATAAAAGAAAAGAGACATAGAGAGACAGACAGAGAAAGATGGCCATATGATAATGCATCTACATGTCAACAAACGTCTGGGGCTACCAGAAGCTAAGTGAGACAAGAAAGGGTCTTCTCCTAGAACCTTCGGAGAGAACATGGCCTTGCTGAATCCCTGAATTTAGACTACTAGTCTCCACAACTGTGAGACAATACATTTCTGCTGTTTGAAGCCCCCTACTTTTTTGTATTTTGTTATGGCAGTCTTAGGAAACAAATACACAGTGGTATCTCAAACTCCGCAAGATGGAACCGGACATTTTCCTCTAGAATCTATTCCTCTTATTGTATTCTCTATGCATTCAGATGCTGAAGTCAAGAATCAGAGTATCATCCTTGATTCCTCTTTTTTTTTTTATTCATCTCTAATCAGTCACTGAGTTCTATTGATTCTATTTCCAAAATATTTTTCAGTTCATCCACTTCTTCTCCAATCTCTACAGCCACCCTTTATACTAGTGCTCCTCATGGTTTCTTACCTGAATTACTGAAATATTTCCTTAAATATTCTCCCTGCCTCCCGTCTAGCCTCATTCTTCTCCAATATATTCTCCACTCTTCTGCCAGGTTGAGCTTTCTTAAATGTAAATGTACTCATATCACATCCTTACATAAGATGCTTCAATAGCTCTCCACTATATTCAAGATAAAAATCTAAACTCCCATGACACTGGTTCCTGTCTACCTGTCAGCCTTCTTGTATCATTACCCTTCCAGGCACACACTCCACTACACTTGAGCCATAGTGAACCACCTTCAATTCAGTGAATGACGCACTCTCGTGACTAAGCTTCTGTCCACATGTTGCTCCTTCTGCTTGCAATATCCATCTTCCCTTCATCTTAATTGGCTTGAGATTCAGGCTGGCTTGGTTTGGGCTCAAATTCCAGTTCTGGAAGTTTTGTCTTTTCACTCATTCAGTAAGGATTTATTAGTATTAAGCAAGTTGCTAGGAATACAAACCTGAAAACAAATAGCTATTGCCTAAGGAAATGCAGTCTCATTCAGGAGAGACACGAGTACTGAGAGAATCAGAATTCAGTGCGAAAGTTCTGAAACAGAGGGAACTAGAACAATGCAGACGAAAGACACTAATCCAGACTGGGCAGTGCGGCTGTTGGGGGAGATTTCCTGGAGCAGGTAATTCCTGAGTAAAGTCTCGAAGGATGTTCACCACTATAAGACATGGAAAGAGAAATGATGTGTGTTTGTATGTGTTGGTGGGGCAGAGGTATCTCAGGGATATGCAAGCAGGGATGCAGATATGCAGTACGCAGGCGGATAACAGGTACAGAGAGGAAGAGAAAGATGACAGGTCAGAGGGCAGTTAGTATATAGCAGCCAGCTAAAACCATGAGACCAGTACACCATACTGCCTCACTGCAACCCTGTCACTGACAGAATTACACCACTGTGGTAATGACAACCCAAACGGACCACACCTTAACCCCAAACTGATAATGTGTTAGAAAAAGCTACTTATCAGGCTGAAAATATTCTTTTCTTAATTTTCTAAACTACTAGTTATTCAATGAACAGGACCTATCTGAATCCAGAAGTAAGCTAGCTAGATACTTCAGAAAATCTGAGAATAATATTTACCCTTGAGTAATTTACAACCCCCTAGAAATACAATGGGATTTCCATTATCCGATGGAAAACTGGATATTCTGCAATTCAGTGCTCTAAGGAGACTGGGCAAGGGAGGCACTGGTTTTGGTTGGGATGCTTAGGAAACACTTCCTGGAGGTGTCTGGCCTTAAGAGGTTCCTGAGGGATGAACAGACCTTCAACAGGAGAGGAGAAAACGGAAGGACACAATAGACCCCAGAACCCCAACACTATACCACTTAGGGAGCTTTTCCTTCATCTCTAAGAAGAGTTAGCGTGCAGAAATTAGAGCATTGTAAATAGGGCTCAGAAAAGAGTCTTGTTGAATGGAAGCAAAGGACCCCTATTGGTAATGTCCAAGGTAAGAATCTGACAAGTAGCATAAAATGCGATACACGTGTTTGCTTGCAATAACAAGGGACTTTCAAAAATATCAAACTTCCTGCATATTGAGATAATGGTTTTATTCTTTTTACTTGTTTTAGGCTCTGGCCCCCAGCCATAAAATCCAAGTATGTGGTCAGAATAACATAAGAGTATCTAAAACACTAGCACTTAGTAGTTGTGATTTGAATCCTCAAACACTAACAGAAAAAAGAAAAAAATAATAAAATAAAAATCCTTCCCAAAGATAGGTTCTAATCAAAGTCCTAGAGGCTAGTTTTTCTTCAACGTTTTTCTCTGCTTCTCTATTTCGTAAGCCAAGAAAAGGAAACCACTGGACTTTGTAATCTTAAGAATATTCTGATTCTTCAAGAACAAAACACTCTCCAAAATGATTTAAAATCTATTTGCAATAACACAGAAATTACTGGGTAGAGTTAAATTTCAAGACCCTTATAGTCTACAATAAACAGTGATGGAAGAAATAATGGAAAAATAATTCTTGTGGATTCTCAACTAGGCAGTCCTGCTAATGACCATTAAGAGAAATCAAACTCCCAAGCTCACTACTGAATTTCCTCTTAACATCAAGTTAGGCTGAAGCAATATCTTAAACAAGGGAAGTCAACAAAAATCTACACATAAATTGCACTTAGAGGTAAAAACCTTTATTCATTCAACAAACACTTACTGAACACTTACCCCATACCAGGCTCTGTTTTGGTCCTGGAGTACACAAAGAAGCCCTTGCCTTCCTGGTGCTTTCACTCTAAATTCAACTCAATTTTATAGCAATGTCAAATTACGCAAAGAACTTCAACTTAAAAGTTTTCCTTCCAGATGCTAGACTGGAATACTTTCATAGAACTTATTAATGTTCAGCTTCTACTCTGAATTCAAAATGAATAAGCTAATGTTCTACCTTTCCTTTAAGATCTACTTAGAAAAGAACACAAAAGCCTTTCTTTATAAATGATATGAAATTCAGAATCACAGAATTTAATCTAGAGGAATCTCTGAGTTCATCTAGTCTAATCTCTCATAAGAGAAATTCCTTATGGAGTACATATGAAAAATGATCACAGAGTACAACAATAATTCCAAAAGTACTGTATGCTAATCTTTATTGAATCAGTTTACTAACTCCTCTTTGTCAATAAATTCCACAGGTGATCACAATTACCTGTTCATATGCCCAGAACTTAACAGCAGTCTCGGGAGCAATTTTAATGACATTTGTACCATTTCCTCTCCAAAGGGAACGGATACCTCCTTCCTTCACCATCTGTTGAAAGCCACCAACTAAGTTCATTTTGTTTGATTTTGAACCATGAACCTAAAAATAAAAGCAAAATGATGTAAAATATGGGTGGCAAGTACTGTTACTATTTCAAAAGTAACTGTACAAACCACTCTCTCTTTTTCAATACCATTTATAAATATAAGATGTATTTGAAAATATAGATTAGGAAAATATATAATGATGGGAGGAATGATTATCATCATTTTAGAGACCTGTATCTGAACCTAAAACTAAAAAGAATCAGTATTCCTCAGCCAGGGAAAGTAGACAAAGAGGACATGATCAAAATCAAAATTATTATGAACAACATTTGTGAGATAACGTGAATGAAATTATGCAATATTAGGCTATGGAACACCTTTTAGAACTTGAACAAGTTTAAGATAAATACAAAGAAGTGCACTGCAGGTAAAGTATTAACTCTCCCCACAAGAAGTAGTGCAGACATGAAATATAAATGGGTCTGAAAATGATTTGGATACATTTATGAATATTAGAACCATAGACGGTGGAATGTACATGGCCTAACGCCAAAGATAAAAATTTGTACCTACTATGGCAGATCTCGAGGCCTCTCTAGGCAATAAACTCAAGACAACATGGGCCAACTGCCTGTTCCAATGAGTACTGATGAATTACTTGGCTTATATTACAGATGCAGTAACTACTACATACTAAGATGTACTAGACCTTATTGTTGCCTATATATAAAAACTGATTAAATCTAATAAACCAAAAATAACCAAAGGAATTAGCTATTCTTGTGATTGTTTCAGCTTACACAAAATGAGTGAGCTACCACCAAAAAAAAGCTGTATCTATTACTACGTCTTAAAATAAAAACATTTTAGAAGCTATAAATTACAAACAAATGAATGTTCTATTCGTCTATATAATTCATAGAACAAATGAATAAAATAATCATAGATACAGAGTCTTACTACATAATTTCTCTAACACATATTCTTGTCCTGATGCATGAGGAAACTCGTATAGTGCTTGAGGGACATCAGCAATCTTCAGCCAACACATTTTACTCCCTTTCATTGCCTTCCATTTCAGATGATACAGATCATTTCCTATAGCAGTATATTTCTTATTTGTGCAAATATGACTATAATAGTCATTAAAAAACAGACTAATCAATTTGCTTTTCAAATTCCAAGTAAGCCTATATTGCTCCTAGAATATAAGCTTTTTGAGTGAAAAATAGCTAAATCACTCTTCGCCTCAGTTTTCCTTCACAGCATTTAATACACATAGAGTAGGTGCTCAATAGTTACTTATGAAATTGTTACATTTTAAGTACTAGAAAAACATAGTGCTGGAATGAGACCTTTAATTTTGTTTACAATGATACAACATTATAGTAGGATCAGTGAGTTCTATGCTCTCATTTTACAAGAAACTAAAGTCCAAAAAAATCCATTTTATTTTAAATAAACTTTACAACAAATTTTATGACAAAAGAAAAGATGAATGCTTATCTGGTTTCTCTCAAAGTTAATTACTATTCCTAAACAGAAAAAAACACAAAAACTCTCTCCCCTTTTTATTTAAAGCATTATCTTTGTCCCTAAATATATTTTGGTATTTGGGCACATTCTGAATGGATTCTAGTTTAAAATACTGCCATAAATCTTTTCATACAAACATCTAAGGACAAATATTAAAAGTGGTGATCATAGGTATAACAAACACAACTTACAAAAAATATTTTTTAAGTAACTGCTATGTTTTAACAGGAAACCCTGGTGGCGCAGTGGTTAAGAGCTTTTGGCTGCTAACCAAAAAGGTCTGCAGTTCGAATCCACCACGGGCTCCTTGGAAACTCTTATGGGGCAGTTCTACTCTGTCCTATAGGGTTGCTATAAGTTGGAATCGACTCAACGGCAACAGGTATGTTCTAATGGTGTATTCCAGTACATCAGACATTTTCACATATTTTTATCACTAAATTCTTACAATCACCCTTGTTAGATATTTTTATTCTTATTCCAGAATGAAGGAAAATGAGACCTCAGGGGTTTCATGCAGTGGGAGAACCACAGGCTTTAGAGCCAAAGATACCCCATTCCTCTTCTAATTTGCTGTAAGGAAAAAATTAATTCTCTAAGCATCAGATTCCTCAAGGGTACAATGAGGATAAAGTACCTATCTCATTGGGCTACAGTGACAATTCAATGGGTTACCATAACGAGCACCAAATAAATATTAATTCCTTTCCCTTCTCTCTTTCATTCCTCTTAGACCAGGCCAAGGCTATGTAGCTAATAAACAGCAAAGTCAGTATATAAATCCAGGTCTTCATCTTGAAACTCAGCTTAAAAATAATTTTAAAAATTATATCCTTGCTTCAGGATTCTAGAATTCAGAAATATACCACCTTTGATAAAGTACATAAAATAGAAAGAAAATACAAATAATTTAAGGATAATCCTACAAAAATGATGGGAGTTTTTTTTTTTTTAATTAAATATTTGAATAGTCATAGAATGCCAAAGGTTAAAACTTCATTACATACATGTACCAATATTTCAAAATTTTATAGAACAGACAAATGTTCATGAACTCAATTTAGAGTTAATAGCAAGAGATTTCTTTAAAGCTATGAAAGACATTATTGAGAAATTTTAAAACTTCTTTTTAAAAGCACCATTTTTCTTTGCATTGTTTTAGAACTTAGAGACATGATCATAAAACTCACCTGCATCATGACTTTCAGACGATCCAAAGGGGCAGTGCTTGTTCGAGAGACAGCACCAGCAACACCTCCTGCCAAAAGCTGCCTCCACCACTGTCCAGATATTTTTTCATCTTCTGTGAATTCATCTGGAATAGTTAAACTATCCCCTATATCAATTCCCTGTCAAAACAGAAAGAAGAATCCCATGTTCCTTCCATTAAAAATAGATTACCACAAAAGTGTTTTGTCCTAGGGAAGAATCATGTTATTTCATACTTAAGATCAACTTTATTTCTTAGAAAGTACACTGAGCCAATTTGAGCGTGTAGATTACTGTAAACACCCTATTTACACTAAATTAGCTGTACTCTAAGTTTGTAAATGAAAATTAACAGTAATTAAAAAATTACAAAACCAAGAATTACTGCTTTCTTTTTTAATCAATTCAGAGTAACTCTTCTCTTCCGGGTCTAGGCCAGAATGAAAACATATCATTCTACCAAGTGTTGTGAACCCTTTTTAGCTACAGCCACATTTCACAATGCTAGAAAACTGTTCTAATGGGCAATGATATCTTCTAAAAAATTAGTTTGCTAATTCTTCAAAGATACTTCCTTTACCTCAAATCATTATATTTGCATTATACTTTATTGTACAATATTCTTTAAACGTATACATTAAAAGTAAATAAAAAGTATGCATATGAAGACTCCTAAATTCATTTTTATGCAGACTGTTTATAAATATTTTTATAAATTTGACTTGTAATTTAAAAAATACAATAGGTTTATAAAATTTCGTTAATAGGGAGGTATTATTTTAAATGACCCCCCCAATCTATTCTAAACATTATTAGGATTACAAATATAGCTTGAGAGCAAAGTTTTATAATAATAATATTTTTACAATTTTATTATTGAAATGATTTCAGTGTAAAAAATTTTATAGGTAAGAATGTAAGGTTAAGGAGCTACGCTATGGTAGTAATCCTCTCTGCCTTCATTTTACTATCAGTAAAATGGTACATGATTTTTAAGCTCAAATGTTACCAACTATTTCCAAAGATATCATATGATCACGTAAATATACCCTCACATAAGTATAAAATTTATCTAGACAACTGGACTAATATAGTTTTATACTCAAAGTTGAAAGGACATTAATCACTAATAATTTTACAAAGTTCTGTGTAAGTCTAGGCATTGTTACTAGTGGCAGTGTGCATGTAGGCTTCACTTAGTGCAATGAGATTCTTTTAATGTCTTCGTATATATCAAATTTACTGAAATCCATGAATAAGTACAGAAAACAAGCCCTCAGGGAAAAAAAAAATTCCCCCAGAGAGCTCCCACTGGTTTCAGGAGCAGACTGCAAAATAAATAGAACTTCATGTACACTTGTATATTTTACGAGAATATTAATAGAATTTAATCAAAAATTGAAAGTTTTGTGGACTATAGACAGGTACAAAATCCTGAGAAGATGAGCTAGAAAGATTTTTTTAACCTTCAATGATTTTATTACAAGTACCTTCCTTATTGCCAGAGATAAATCTAGGCATTTTGACTACACAAGCAAAAATTTCAGACAGGAACTTTGGCCATCATCAGTGGCCAAAGAGATAGATCCTAATTGTCATGAGGCACTGAGATTATTTAGGCAGTACTGTATCTGTAAAGGAGCCCTGGTGGCATAGTGGTTAAGAGCTTCACTGCTAACCAAGAGGTTGAGAGTTCGAATTCACCAGCTACTCCTTGGAAACCCTAAGGGGCAATTCTACTCTGTCCTATAGGGTCACTCTGAGTTGGAATCAACTCAATGGCTATGGGTTTAGTTTTCTGTATCTGTAACAGGTAAAAGCCTATTACTTTCATTTCCCTAAGGCAGAATAAACAAACAAACCCACACCCGTTGCCATCGAGTCCATTCCATTCTGACTCATAACAACATTGTAGGACAGAGTAGAACTGCCCCATATGGTTTCCAAGGTTGTAATCTTTATGAAAACAGACTGTCATAGTTTTCTCCTAGGGAGCTGCTGGTAGGTTCGAACCGCCAAACTTTAGGTTAGCAGCCAAGCGCTTACTTAAATATAAATACAAGATAGGCAGCTTATCGTCATCAAGGGAGTACCTCTTCCAAATCTTGTGTCTGGCAAAAATAGATAATACATTTTCAGGATTTATGAAGTTTTGAGGATGTTTTTACGATAACACTAAACATACCCCTATTAGAATAAGCAGTTAAGAAGCTACTGAAACTTGTACTTCATGGCCATGTTGTAGGATGCTCTTGGGTGATAGCTGTACCTATGGCTTACAGCTCTAAGTAAGCATAAATTAACAAATAATGCAAGCTTACAGTAGAATGTTTCCAGAAACGGATAATTTCCTCAATGTCTGTAGCGGGATTAAATAAGAAGTAGTCCCTCCATTCATTCCAGTCCACGGTCATCGTCCCATCAGCGTCAATGCTGAAAATAAAAAGGCTCTGATTAAAGAATGAAACAAAATTGATAAATAAAACCAACATTATTGGTTATTTTACAGAGTAACAGTTTCTTTTCCAACTTAATACAGTATGTGTTGCTTAACGTCCACGATACATTCTGTGAAATATGATGTTGTGATTTGGCCTTGGAGATTGGATGCTGCTGCCTAGAGTCAAAGCATACACTGTTATACCGTAAACTTTGTAAGTAGAGAAACAAATTTAAAAAAAAACACTACCGTGGAGTCACTTCTGACTCATAGCGACCCTGTACGGCAGAGTAGAACTGCCCCATAGGGTTTCCAAGGAGTAGCTGGTGGATTCGAACCGCTGACCTTATGGTTAGCAGCCGAGTTCTTAACCGCTGTGCCACCAAGGATCCAAGTAGGGAAAGTTTACGTTAAAATAACGATAGCAAGCACAGTACAGTACATAACCCAGCAACACTGGTATTTATTGACTACCAAGACATATGTATTATAGGTTATATATATACTTTGTATACAAGAGACATGAGATACATGTGTTGCATGTGGGAAGCTGTTGCGTTCACTACATCCGGTTATGTCTGCTACGTCCCATCCTCTGACTGGGATTTCTGAACTCTGTGATAACCTTACGGGACCACGGGCATATATGCGGTAGGACGTTGCACGAACAGATGTTATGCAGTGCATGACAATATTCTTATTAAATAAAAAAATCTCAATTCACAAGGATAGGTTGGAAATGGCAGCAAGCATTTGATGTTCTTATCAAATAGTTTTAATTATCTAGATAAAAACGGACCCAAAAATTACAGAGAGCTCTCACTAAAGACTACCATATCCTTACGCAAACAACATACATCTTCTACCTCCCGTCGAGGTATTTTCATAAGCACCACTATGCCATCTTTTTTTTTACATCTTCCTGTAAAAAAATATTAGCCTAGTGTGCTTTCAAAACGACCTGGTGGGGGAAGGAAGCGGTTGGCAAAAAAACAGAAGGTGTGTGTTACTTGCTTTTTACGCAAAAATACGGTACTTTCAAATATTCTGTCAAACACTAAATGAGCTATCAAACTCAAAAGCTGAAATGTTTCGGGAAGCAGTAATGAATAGATTCATACTCCTTTTTTTTTTTTTTTTTGGCATTGGCTCAGGAAGTATTTAATGTTCTGTTGTAACATTTGGATGTGATTTTGAAATATTCAACATATACTATCAATTTCCGTCTCCAGCAAGTTAAGAAAATTAACAAGTGATTTTAAAAGAGCAAACTCTTAATGATTGGGCCATTTTGTCTAAAGAAACCTTGGTATCTCATCTTCAACATTTAAAATTAATACATTTTAGCCTTAAATATTTGTCATTAACTTTTTGCTTCTTTCACAAGTTCCACGGCAATAATGCCATTGGTATGTTTGTTCCTAAGAGCAACTCTGAATTAACTATGCCACGATTTATGAATGTTTTGTTCACTACTATATACCTAAAGTGTCTGGCACAAAGAAGATGCTCATTTGTTTGTTGAATTAATGCATGTCTCTAAAAAAAAAAAAAAAACTTTAATGTCTCCTCTAAATTTTACATTTATTCTGTAATTTGTGTAAAAATGATTCATAAAGATGGCAGTCTAATAAAATTCAATTTCAGATATTGTGCTTTCTACTATCACTTTTTATTTTTATTTTATTTAAAATTACACTTACAATTTCACTTGTCCCAGCACACAGGTATTAACATTCTATATTTCCATGACAGTCTTAGTCACTATTTATGCTATCACATTATTCCAAGTTATAATACTGACGGCTTTATTGTTATCACTATTTCATATTTTAATTTAATTTCTGAGGCACTTGGGGATATAACGTGATACGCCTGTAACAAATCAGGTAAATTTAAAAATGTAAATAACTTATAATTAACATGAAAATGCTTTAGCCAAGATGAACCAACCTGTTAAATGAATGATAGTCAAAATCAACTGAACAGTGAACAAAAAAATCTCTGTCCTCATATTCTACTCCCTCCGCAGCCATTCTACACATACTGTCCTCCCTGCTGTTCTTCAAAGGTGCCAAGCACACTTCCACCTAGGACCCTCCACTAGTGGCAATATTCTTTCCCCAGTTATCCATATGGCTCACCCTCATCTTCTTCAAGTCTTGGTTCAAATGTTATCTCAACAAGGCTTACCCTATCTTAATACTGCATGCAATCTGCTATCACCATCCACAGGCCCCACCCCCACTTCTCATTCCTAATCCCCTTAACTGCTCATTTTTCCCCATAGCACTTATCTTCTAATATAATGAATAATTTACTTATTATGATTACTTACTGTCTGACCCCACCCCCAACCTCCTCCACATGCATACATAAGCATATTCCACAAAGGCAAGGATTTTTGCTGATTCTGTTAAACGATATAACCAAAGTGTCTAGAACAATACCCTGCATAGAGTAGGTACTCAATAAATATTAACTGAATGAATAAATAAATGCCAAATTCTGTAGCTTAAAGCCACAGAACACTCAGTATTGACAATTTTTTTTAAATGATAAAATACTGTCTTGCTATGTCTTCAAATGACTAATACGGTTGAACATCTATTGCCATGTTTATTGGCTATTCATGTTTCCCTCTGTGTGAAATGTCCATTCCTATCTTTTGTACAATTTTTGAATGAGTCGTTTATCTTTTTCTGATTTATTTACAGTTCTTTATATAACTGATTCTAATCCTTCAAGTTATAAATTAGCAAATACCTCCTTCTAGCGTGTGCCTTTTCTTTTCACTTGGTTTATAATGTCCATGAATAAATGGTCTTAATGTTATTTTTATTGTGCTTTAAGTGAAAGTTTACAGCTCAAGTTAATTTCTCATTCAAAAATTTATACATCTATTGTTTTATGACATTGGTTGCAATTTTAATGTTGCTGAATTTATCAATCTTTTCATTTGTAAGTACTGCCTTTTGTGTCTTTTTTAAAAAAGAAATTCTTTCTTACCCAGAGAAATACATTTCCTTTTTTTCCTTTTAAAAGTGTTACTGTTTTCTTTTCACATTTAGGTTGATTTTTGTGTATGGTGTGAGATAGGTATCCAATTTCATTTTTGTCTGCCTGAATAACCAGGTGCCCCAGCACCATTTATTGCATAGTCTCTCCTGTTACAAAGCTACTTCTGTCATGTGGCAATTTCCAAATATGGTTGGGTCTATTTCTGGGCTCTCTAGTATGTTCCACTGGTCAACTTGTCTATTTCTGTAGCAATACCACTGTCTTAATTATAGCTTAATAACAACTTTTGCTATCTGATAGGGCAAGCTCCACTCCCCCCCACCCTTTTGTTCTTTAAGAATGTCTTGGTTATATGTCTGTTTTATATATATATACATATTTTGTTCTGTTTTACATAAGGTCACTATGACTTGGAGCCAACTCTACAGCAGCTAATAATAATACACGCACATACACAGATATTTTAAAGTTCTATAAATGTTTACTAAATCAAGCTTGTTTATTTAAATCTTTCATGTCTTAACTAATTTTTTTCTCTGCTTGACCTATCAAATATGGAAAAATGTATGTTAAAATCTCCCAATAATGTGATGAATTTGCCAATTTATTCCCAGAGTTCCATCCACCAGCTTAAAATTTTTATGTCTTTGTGAATTTAAAAATGCAGTGATACCCCATTCTCATTAATGCCTTCTATCTTAAAGTCTACTTTCTCTAATATTAATATAGTTACCTCAGCTTTCTTGTTTATTTTTTTTTCTTTCATCTGACAATCTCTGTCTTCTAACAGACAAAATTTATGTTAATTTTTATACTGATATAAATTTCAACTCCACTATAAAGTAAGTGGGGTCTGAAAAGTTTGACTATGCAATGTTATGTCTTCACATCACTGTCAGGTAAATAAAAATAATATTGTTCAATCAGTATATTCTCTCACAAAAGTGCAGGTATAAATATATCGAAATTCATACAAACTCCTCAGACTGGACACTAAACTGAGATAATCCTGATCAGAAGCAGTTCCCTTCTAATCTTACTCTTCTTTCATCTCCCCATCCCCACAAAATATAAACCAAAACCAAACCCACTGCCGTCAAGTCGATTCCGACTCACAGAGACCCTGTAGACAGAACAGAACTGTCTCATAGGGTTTCCAAGGCTGTAAATCTTTACAGAAGCAGGCTGCCACATCTTTCTCCTGCAACACGGCTGGTGGGTTCAAACCGCCAATGTTTGGTTGGCAGCTGAATGCTTCACCACTGTGCCACCAGGGCTCCTCCCACAGAAGACCTTTATTTAGCCCACCCTCATTTGAGAATGGAGGCAAAGGGAAAACAGGATCCAACACTATTGCAGGGCACATTTTGGTAGGGCTTTATTGTATTTGAACATATTTCTCCCCTTACCTTTTGCTTTCTATTTGTCTTGATCTGTCTATAAAGTTTTTTCCTCCTTTCTCCTCTTTGCTGGATTGTCTGACTTTTCTATTTGTTTGTTTATTTTCTTATTCCATGTTTTCCCTCCCTGGTTTGGAAGTTATATACTCAATTCCCATAAAACCAAACCCCACTGCCATCAAGTCGATTCCAACTCATAGCGACCCTATGGGGCAGAGTAGAACTGCCCCCTAGGATTTCCAAGGCTGTAAATCTTTATGGAAGCAGACTGCCACATATTTCTTCTGTGGAGTAGATGGTGAATTTGAACTGCCAACCTTCTGGTTAGCAGCTGAGCACTTTAACTACTGTACCTTGAAATTTTACCATGTACATATAACAAAGCCTAAAGTTAATATTTTGACCCCCACTCCAAATAAGACAAGACCCTTAGAACTGTTTAAAATAAATTATCCCCTTCTTATAGATTTTTTTTTAAATTTTTTTATCGTACTTTAGATGAACATTTACAGAACAAACAGTTTCTCATTAAACAGTACACATATTGTTTTATGACATTGGTTAACAAGCCC